GACGATATTTGAATAGATTCTTCTAAACAGTTATATGTAATTAAATGTAATTAATTATATAATTAAAAAGAAAGTTGTGTATGACTAAAGTGAAAAAAAAGATGGGTATTATAGACATTTTCAAGACCACACCCACACTTTTTGTTAACATCTATATAATATTAGACAGTTGAATTCTCAATTTATAAAAATATAACAACGATCAAATTAATCTAATATTCTTTTACTTTGATTTAATGATACAAAATTATATGTTTGCGTGTTCAGATACAAGATTATTGCTAGAGTGTGTCTATATATATATATATATATATAGAAAATACTATTTAGATCTAATTTGAAGACCAAATCTAGAGACTTAATGATGTACAACCATTAGATTGGTTATGGACTCCATCTAACATTAGAACTCACAACTAATCCAATGATTGCATTAAAACCACATCATTAGGTCCCTATAGCATTGTTCATATGTGTGTGTGTGTGTGACGAGCCTAGATCCAAGTTATGCCTGAGCTCAGTTCGTAGATTGAACCAAAATCATCAAAAGGCATGTCCGACTTAGCTCATGGTTTCAGTCCAGTCAAAAACTCAAGAATCCAGGAAAAACTAATGCACGTGAAAGAATAATCATCGAGATAACCATTACTCCAGAATAGTGTCCATCCCCAATTGTAACTATCCTCATTGATGAATTATTAATTTGACCCTCACGTCACTACCTCAACTGGTACTATACGCCTACAAATTGTTAACCCCTTTACACATGGGGGCAAATCTCATATACCTCATTTGAATGGACTCTTGTTCTCTCTCTCTCTCTCTCTCTCTATTACATTGTACTCTCTTATTAATAGAGTTCTCTGTACACTATTGCCGCCTTCAGTGGTTAGATCACTGAGACCCAACTACTCAATCTTTGTCTCTTATTATTAATTGTTTCAATAATTACTTTATACCACACACTCAACTGATTTGATTGTGTATAGTTAACTTTGTGCATCATTAGTATGTATCTGGCCTACCATACAATGGCATTTATGGTTAGAGGGAAGGAATCAAAAACTCAAAACGAAAAATTAGAGACATTCCACAGGTATGATAGCAAAAAAAAATAAAATTTTCCGTTGGTTGGAGGAAATGAATGATGTCTTGAGTGTTTAGCTTATGCTAGTCTGTTTTGAAACTAAATTGATTAGCATCCACACCAAAGATAGATAATAGAATTGTTAGGGTTCTTGGGCATGTGTTGGTTTGGGAATGATGGGGTTAGATTGGATTAAATTAGTCTAATGGTAATTTAATGTTATGTTTAAATTATGTGATTCGCCGTTGTGAAAAAATTGGAAATGAAATTCTGTTAGTAAAATTGAGTCTTAACTCAAAATATAAAATATATTATTTCACTACTCAAGACAGAGAAATTGAATATATTTCACGATCAAAGATCGTAAAAATGGGTGTATAAAACTATCTAAGACATGAAATTGGGCATATTTCATTGTCCACTTTCACCAAAAGTTGGACCTTGCAATTTCACTATAATACAAATTTTTGATCGAGACAGTGAGAGTAAAGAAAAATTGTAATTTTGAACAGTTAAATATTTATGTCATTATTCGATTTTAATAAACTTAAAATACAAATTTCACTGTCCTATTTTACGAAATTTTATGTCTCAAAAAATTATCTATAATGTATAGTGAAATACCCAGCATAGATAGTCAAATTAATTGTCCCCTTCTCAACAAATTTCACTATTCCAAGTTGCAAAATTTGTTATCTCATAGACAGTGAAATACCCAACATGGACGGTGAAATAGACTGAGGATTAAATAATCCTATTATTTTGTTCCACTTGACTAGTAAAATGATTTACTCCATCTTTCAGATCATGTAGGTGTCACGTCAACAATATCACGTGATATAATTATTAAATAAAAAAATTATAACATAAATAAAATGAACACAAGTTCTTTACATGTGGGTAATTATGTATTACATAACTTAGATGATTATGAATTTTTAGACTTGGTCACTAAATGATTATCCCGCATGATTAGGGGTGACAATTAAGTCGTGTTGTGTCGGGTTCGTGTCGTGTCGAACATTAGTCGTGTCGAATATTAATCAACTCATACCTAACTCATTTAACTAATCGTATCATGTCGAGTTGACCTGTTTATTTTCGTGTCGTGTTCGTGTTTATATTCTTGTGGACACATAAAATTTGAATAAAAATTTAACGCTAACATTTTATTTTCACTTAATTAAATCTCTCCTCATACTTTTTCTACAAACTAAAAATTAACTTAATAATAATAATGAGTAATAATATATTTTTTATACAATAATTATGTCAGTGTTTGATAAACAGTTACAAATAATTAATATTTTATTTTTATAATACTAATTAAATATATTAATCGTACATCGCACAACCAAATTAAACATAAAAAATAATGAAAAAAATAAGTCATCAAAACATGAAAACTCATACATGTAACAAAAAGGCCAGATCAATCTCCTTCGAGTTAAAAACTTCGTGTTGACTAGTCAATTCGTATTAAACATGTTGAATCCCAATACGACCACTAACACTTCGTGTTAACGAATCGTGTTATACACGGGTTGACACAAAAAATTAGTCAACTCAAACCTATTTATTCATATCAAATTATCGTGTCGTGTCAAAAATTGTCACCCCTATGCATGGACATTCAAGTTACACCCAATATTTTCTCCATATTTAAGGTAGCAAGTGAGTGGAAATCAAGGAGCACACTTTTTTTTGAAGAGACTTGTCAAACCGAGCCTACCCATTCTCATTTCACTTTGAAAATAAAAATATGTAAAATTGAGCTTCAACCGGACTATTGACTTTCTCAACCCCAAAATTCAAAAATAATACAATTAGTTGACATGAATAATAAATAAATCAAAATACGTTTATGATTGGACAGTAAAATATTCTACAACAACAAATCTATCGTAAATCCTACTACGAAAGTAGTGAGGTTGGTACTTTACTGTCCAATCCGTTGATATTAGTTTTAGTAATGATCAATACAAACCATGACACCCTTTCAATCACCACAAATAATATATCTAATTTGATCGTATTAGACAATGAAAAAACCAATTTTGTAAGTGAGAAAGGACATAATGATAAAAAAAAGTAATAAAAAAGATACGAAAATCGTTCCTAATGTCAAACTTCAAAATACAAACTTCAAAGTTCCAATTAAAATTCATAAAAAAGATAAGACAAAGAAATCTCTGAGTAGAAACATATCCCGAAAAACAAGTGGTTCCCTGATCCATTAAGAACTCTATAAAAGAGATAAATAGTGTAGAGTAACGTGGATCAACTCAATAAGTTACAATTTTGAGAAAAAATGAGTTTGAAAATAAATACGTTGCATCGATTGGGATACACATAAGTTGGACAAATTCAGTATAAAAAACTAAATTAAAAATAACTGAAGCATATCGATACCAGGTAAATCAAATTTTAACCAAACCAGATATTATAGTGTGTTACTTCGAAAAACAAATCCTAAAGACCTCACAAGGCCCACATAATCAACATCATTAAATAAACCTTTAAGAGGTGGCTCGTACCCAAACCCAAAGACAATGCTACTAGATTCGATGAACTCGGTGAAACTTTTTAAGGTAAATTTCACTGATATTCTTTGAATATAAGTTATATTTTACTAACACTCTTTCTAATTTTTAAAATATCACTGCACACACTTGCTGATGATGGTGGATTTAAGTTTGGGCCTCTTTCAAAAGTCCAAAACCTCTCATGGGCCCATCAAAGACGACTCAAATACCCAAGCTACGTCACAACCCAAAATTAGTCAGGCCAAGATAGTCTCTAGCTCGGAGTTAACAAGCTTGGTGACAAGTGTTTGCTCGAGACTATGGAGCTCGGAGCTAAGCAGACCTAAGAAAACCCTAATCGCACCACGTGGATTGGGGACAGAGAGACAATGCTTGACAACTCTAATGAACGAATATTCACCGATAGTGAAGATACCTCATGCATTTCGTTCCAAGCGTAGTGGGCACAGAAAATGTCAAGATGCTAGGACCAACTATGGGACAAATGAGGAGGAGACCACAAAATCAGCCAAGAAAGAAACCACTGCGAAACCCTAATGATAAGGTGTATAAATAGCCAACAACGCCGTTGTGTAAGATATATAGAGAAGAAAGAGATAAAAGCGAGAGAGAATATCTATAGCAAAATAGGAAATACTCCGTAACAGGCTTCTTGCCAAACCATTTGTAACAAGAACCTTTATCTCTAAACAATATAGCCCTCATAGAATAAGCGTCTCTTTTACATGTAGCCTTAGTCCTTCGACTGAGAAAAATCACTTATATTTTTGTCTTCGCTTTGTCTTCCACTCTTAACATACCCCTTATCATAAGCACACACGAAGCTCCACTGGGCCTCATCCTATTTTTGTTCTGTAGTTGGGTAAGAAGATTTTAAGCACTATCACTTATAATTTATATACATATCTCACAAACTACCCATGTTGTCTAATGCCGTTACTTATAAGCAAAAAAAGGTGTGATGTGATGAATTATTCTCTTATAAATTATTAAATTTACCCTTGGTCATATAAAACAAATTTAAAACAGTGAGAAATATGTTTTTAGTATTAATTAAATGTTAATTGAACAAAATGTTAATTTGGTGTTAATTCTAAAAAATAATAATAATTTTATAAAACAAAATATTAAATTCAAAAAATTGAATGATCATTTGGTATTGATTTAATTAAATTGAATGTTAATTTGAAATTCAAACGTAAGTACTTGAGAACAATTTAAGCTCAAGAAAAAAAAATTTAAAATGAATTAGCTAATAATCTCAGAACTCAAAATTAGTTACCATGGCCGATAGATTTAGAATTCAAACCTAATTCGAATTACAATAACCGATCAGCGGAATATCCCCCGCAAACATGACCTTGTTGGAAAAACAAAACAAGGCGAAAGTGATATTGAATCGGTGAAGGAAGGACGCCAGAGAGAGACGAGATGAAGATGGTGTAGAAATGGTGGTGACAGTAGCGCCGGCGGTGGTGTTGGGGTTGCGATTTTGATTTGTTGAATTTCAGTCAAGATTTAGATTTCGATTCGATTCGATTTCCATTCCGGTTTGGGTTTCTGGATTTGAATTGAGATGATGATTCAATATTTTAGTCGAAGCGGTGGGAATTGTGACCGGTGGTGGTCTTGCTTCATGCCGCTACTGGGTTTGAATTTGATTTTTTTCGTTTCAATTTTGTTTATTAGTTTGATCGTGGTTGTGCTTGTGCGTAGTTGGGTGGTGGTTGTACGCAGTATGACGGTGGTAGTGGGCTGTAAGAAAGTGATTCGGAGGTGGTGGTGCACCGTAGTGTCGTGCTTGTGGGCATTGGTTGAAGTGATACAATGGCATTGGTGCACCGTGGGGATGGAGGTGGCGGTGGTGATTCCTATACTTTCTAACAGCCGTAACCGTTACGCTCAATATTTTACTATATACTGGGGTTAAACGTTTACCTGCAAAGCGGGTAAACCACGTAGGATAGTATAAAGTGAAGTCTGCCCTAATTATTTTTTAGGTAGGAAATTTCCTTGAGATGGGTTAGTACTTTTCGTGGCTACTAATTAACAGAATACAAGACATCTCTCACAACATGATTCTTATCAGGTTAAGGCCCTTATATGGTACTTTGAAAGTAAACCATAGGTTAATTTATTTTCCTTTACCTTCCCTTCTGGAGCTTTGAATATCAGACTAGCAAATACAATGGTTGCATGGCCTTTCAAGTATCTTTTGCAGCTTCTGCTTATATTATACCATATGAATCTCCTATCATCTCAAAGTGTTCATGATCATGCGACAGCGCCCGCATCATGGATAAACAACAGCCGGTCCATTATCAATGGCACATGGTCTGAATCTTTCAGGGCAATCATACTGTTGAAAGAGATATCAGAGAGTAGTTATGACATTTCTTTTTTTGCATGTGGATTCTTCCTCCATCCAGGAAATGATACCTTTTTTTTTTTTGCAATTGGAATAGTTCATCTGCTTATATATTCACATAATGACACTTCAGTGGATGTTGATTTAGTTTGGTTTACAAACAGAAATAAGCCTGTTGGTGAGGGTGCAACTTTGAATTTACTTTCTTCTGATGGAGATTTGATCTTGAGAGAAGCAGATGGAACTCAAGTGTGGTCTACCAACACTTTCAACACATCCATGGCTGGTATAAAGTTGATGGAAACAGGTAATGTTGCAATTGTTTCGATCTGAATTACTCTGATACCACTACTTGTGAGATTGTAATTAAACATACTAGAGGGAAGACCACAAAAACATAACCATATAAGTAGTTTGGCATATCTTGCCTACACATCCACGGATCAAAAGACTTCATTGATATGTTATTATCTGGTAATTGATAACACGTAGTCCAGTCCTATCTATATAGTGTTGAACTAATAAGATGAATAGAAATTATATTCCCCATGCTCATCCACAACAAGTTACTTATAGTTCAATTTCAATGAACAAACTTATTCACGATATGTTAGGACATTTTCAATTCATTTGCTATTCAATATGGGGTTCTCACATATGATTTCGCAACAGGTAATCTTGTGCTTTATGACAAGTTTAATCGTACTATCTGGCAATCTTTTGATCATCCAGTAGACACACTGCTTCCTGGGAAGAAACTGATGGCAGGCCAAAAGCTTGTGGCTAGAGTTTCCACAGATGATTGGACAGAAGGCGACTATTATTTAACCGTGACCTCTCATGGTCTGTTTGCTTTTTACCAATCCAATATGCCTCAGATGTACTTCAAATTTCTGGTTCAAGGGACTGGAGAAAGCACAGACACAAGCTATGTCAAATTCATTAATGGCACTCTTGCTTTATATATATCATCAACTGAACCAAGTGAACCAGATGCAGTGTTGTTGAAACCGTCGAGAATGCAATATATGAAATTTGATCCTGATGGCCACTTCAGAGTTTACAGTGGCATTAATGGAGACATTGCTGAACCAGTTGATTTATTTGCAAATTTTTTGAGTGCATGTGATTATCCCAATGCCTCTGGCAATTTTGGGCTCTGCGTAAATGGACTTTGTTCTTGTCCTGGTGGATTTGTTCGAGCTGATGTTTCAACTGATCAAAATGACAATGGATGCATGGAAATTAGCCAGACAACGTGCACTGATCCTCATTCCTATGGATTCCTGCAGCTTGCAGATGTGTATTACTTTAACTATGTCGACAATGATGCTGCAGTCCTCAAAGGAACCAATGTGGAGAGTTGCAAAGAGGCATGCTTGAAAAACTGTTCCTGCAAAGCTGCTCTATTTTGGTATTTTAATTACGTTTCACATGGGAACTGCTTCTTACCCTCACCAGTATTCTCACTTATAAGTGATGGAAAGGAAAGAAATGTTTACCAGTCTTCTGCATTTATCAAATTTCGAACGATAGGGCAAACATAGCAGGGTCTTCTATATTTTCTGGCCGAATTGGGATAATAGCAGGATCTATTTCTTGAGCTCTAGTTATTACTTTAATGACCATCGGAATCTGGATTGTGGTTTTAAGGAAGAAAACAAATAAGGAAGAAGATGAGGAGGATTACATGGATCAAGTGTCAGGAAGGCCTATGAGATTTTCTTATGAAGAGCTGAAGACAGCAACTGGGAATTTCCAGAAAAAACTCAGAGAGGGAGGGTTTGGATCAGTTTTCAAAGGACTTCTAAGCAATGGAGAGAGAATTGCAGTAATGCCACTTCAGAGTTTACAGTGGCATTAATGGAGACATTGCTGAACCAGTCGATTTATTTGCAGATTTTTTGAGTGCATGTGATTATCCCAATGTCTGTGGCAATTTTGGGCTCTGCGTGAATGGACAATGTTCTTGTCCTAGTGGATTTCGAGCTGACGTTTCAAATGATCAAATATACAATGGATGCGTGGAAATTAGCCCGACAACGTGCACTGATCCTCGTTCCCATGGATTCCTGCCGCTTGCAGATGTGTATTACTTTAACTATGTCGATAATGATGCTGTAGTCCTCAAAGGAACCAATGTGGAGAGTTGCATAGAGGCATGCTTGAAAAACTGTTCCTGCAAAGCTGCTCTATTTCGATATTTTAATTATGTTTCACACGGGGACTGCTTCTTACCCTCCCCTGTATTCTCACTTATAAGTGATGGAAAGGAAAGAAATGTTTACCAGTCTTCTGCATTTATCAAAATTTCGAAAGATACGGCTAACGTAGCAGGGACTTCTGCATCTCTTGGCCGAAGTGGGATAATAGCAGGATCTATTTCTGGAGCAGGGTCTTCTACATCTCCTGGCCGAATTGGGATAATAGCAGGATCTATTTCTGGAGCTCTAGCTATCACTTTAATGACCATCGGAATTTTGATTGTGTTTTTCAGGAAGAAAACAAATATGGAAGAAGATGAGGAGGATTACATGGATCAAGTGTCAGGAATGCCTATGAGATTTTCTTATGAAGAGCTGAAGATAGCAACTGGGAATTTTCAGAAAAAGCTTGGAGAGGGAGGGTTTGGATCAGTTTTCGAAGGAATTCTAAGCGATGGAGAGAGAATTGCAGTGAAGCGCCTTGATGGTTTAGGCCAAGGTAAAAAAGAATTCACGGCTGAGGTTAAGACAATAGGAAGCATTCACCACTTCAATCTGGTGAGGCTGGTTGGATTCTGTGCTGAAAAACTGCATCGACTTTTAGTATACGAGTACATGGAAAATGGATCTCTGGACAAATGGATTTTTGTTACGAATCTGCCTCAACAACCTATGCTTGATTGGCAACTGAGAAGAAATATTATCCATGAAATAGCAAAGGGCCTGGCCTACCTCCATGGAGAATGCAGACAGAGGATAGTTCATTTGGATATCAAACCTCAGAATATCCTGTTAGACGCAAACTTCAATGCCAAAGTTTCTGATTTCGGCTTGTCTACGTTAATCGACAGGGACCAAATCCAAATCGTGACCACGTTGAGAGGAACTCCCGGATACATGGCTCCGGAGTGGCTGAGCTCAGTTATTACAGAAAAGGTAGACGTTTATAGCTTTGGCATTGTGGTGATGGAGATAGTCTGTGGAAGGAAAAACTTGGATCGTTCGCAACCTGAGGAATTCATGCATTTACTTAGTATGTTTATGAAACAGGCAAAGGAGGATCAACTGATCGATATGGTTGACAAAAACAGTGATGATATGAACTCAAATATCTCAGAAGTTATTCAGATGATGAGACTTGCAGTTTGGTGTTTACAAAGAGATTTCACTTGCAGGCCTGCCATGTCAATGGTAGTCAAAGTAATAGAGGGTCTGATGGATATTGAGTCTGCCTTAGATTACAGCTTGTCAGATTCATCAACTATGGTGGCAATGAAAAGGGAGGCAGCATTGGGCACCACAGTCACATTGTTGCCTTCAATTCTATCAGGACCCAGGTAAAGAGCTTACAAAAGGGTTGTTAATGGGTCGAGTCATGCCGAATTTATGGTAATTGTGTCGAAATTTGCTTGACCCAATCTCAACCTATTTATATGTGCGTATAATCGAGTTTATGTCATGTATAAGTCGTGTTTAATGGATTATTGTTGTGTTTAGCTTGTTTCATCTAAATTCATATGTTTAACGTGTCTAACGACTCCACTTGTTTACGAGCTGAACCCTCTAAGATTCATTCAAAATCTATTAATTTCGTGTCAATTTCCTATTGAATTGGGGCATGTTGTCTAAAATTGTCAGGCCCACTTACAAACATGAAGGAGCAAGATTTATGCAGCTCCCTTTTGTCTTTCTATCTTGAAGTGTCCTCCGTGTTTTATGATTGTTGTGCAGCAATTTAGTCCTTCTATTAGTTATTGCATATGGGTGTGGGTGGATGACATGGTATGTTCGGGTTGGATTGCCCTGCTTTATAATACTTGAGGTCTAAGGTGAAAATTTGAGGTCTAAAGAAATTTTTTAGTTAAACTAATTTTATTCTTATAATCATAAATCTTCTATATATATATAAAAAGAGGAAAAACTATTTACAAAACAAATATAACACGAACAATTATATTAAGATTAAAATTAGCCTACAAATAAAGTTTGATAAAACACATTTGGGTGCTGGAGTCATTAGAACTTAGAGAGAGAGAGAGAGAGTCTTACAATTTTTGAGTAATAGAATAGGGCGAGGATTTCTTTTAAAAGTTATAATATATTTGCTCATGGATGTTGGAGAAAGAAAATTGAGAAAACGCGAAAGATATAAGTAAAATATAGAATTTAATGGAGAAAACTATCAAAGAAAGAAAAAAGGGAATTTCATTAACACCTCCTCTAGTTATATCTAAATTCAATGATGAGTAATATTACAATGACCTTATTTAGGAATCTAATGATGTGACTTTAATATAACCATTAGATTAATTGTGAGTTCTAATGTTAGATGAAACCTACAATCAATTCAATGATTGTATATCATTAGGTCTTCAAATAAGATCCAAGTAGCATTTCCCTTCAATGATACCCTTTATTGATTATGAAATTTCATTTGTACCTTATGTTACTTTTGTCTGTTTACTGCGTTAATGTGAGACATTGTTTTATAGAAATACTCTTAATATTTTATAGGATAAATTTCACCTACATTCCCTGTAAATTGACCTAATTTTAATAATATCCTCTCCCGATTATGAAATTTCATTACAGTCTTTTTAGTTTTGTTATATTAGCATTTAGGTTTATTAATTTAATATTTAATTTTTATCAAATTAATGTCTTTTATTTAATTTAAACTAAATTAACATTCATCTCATCAAAACGACAAGAAATTGATATTTAATTTTCTCAAATTAACATTCAGTTTTATTAATTTAATATTTTATTTCATTAAATTAATATTATTTTTTTAATTTAACATTAAATTACTATTTAATTTTATCAAATCAACACCAAGTTGACATTAAATTTTATTAAATTAAAATTTAATATATTAAATTTCATTAATTTAACATTTAACCTTATTAAATTAATGTCATTTTTTTAAATTTAACACCAAATTAACATTTAATTTCATCAAATTAACATTCAAATTTTTTCAATTTAACACTAAATTATTATTTAAATTTATCAAATTAACACCAAATTAATATTTAAATTTATCAAATTAAGACCAAATTTATTCAATTAATATTAAATTTTATCAAATAATATTTAAATTATATATGTGAAGGGTAATGTGTGAAGGATGGTTGGGTGACATTGTGGATGACAGACGATAGCAGAAGAGTTGGAAATAGATAAAATTTTGACATTAACTTTATCATTTATAATTTTTATTGCAGAGAAATTATTTTTAACTATAAAAATTATAGAAAATTTATTATGTTATCAAATGAGTGATAATATGATGACTAATATTATAAAAAAAATATTATGCAGTGCTTTAAAATGATAAAAAAATCAATGGGATCAATTGAAAATGACTATAATTAATCTTATTTTTTGGTAAATGTTAAAATTAATTTATTTTATTTTTTGTTTGTATACATTTTTGACCTTATTATGTTGAATGATTTTATTTTGTGTCAAAAATAATTTCAATAGATATAAATATATTAAGAAAAAGAATGGTAGTATTGAAAGGTAGTATATGTATTTTAGGAAAAAGAATCGCATGACATTAGTATTTTTGATTGTCAGTAAGTGAGATTCACACGGAAGGGTGTGATTGAAGTGAATATATGAACAAGAAGGGGGTGTAGTGAAAAATTAAAATTGAGAGGGGATGTCATTAAATTTAGACCTAACTACCGAGAGTTTGGATAAAATTTCCCCAAAAAAAAAAAAAAAACCTTTGTAACCATAAGACACAAAACTTCTAGTTCTAACAAACTATAAATATTTGTCCCTAAGATTGATCATCATCCCAATGATACCACTTGTAGATGATACTTCAGTAGGGCGAACTCTTTAATAATGACTTTTTCTATTTGATAGGGCGATGAAAAATTTCTTCAATCTAAGAAACACCAGGGAACTCAAGAGGGTTGCCTTTGAAGCATTTGCCAGTAACGAAAGAATATATATTTTTTTTGATAATACTATGAAATATTCTCTTTTTTTTAAAAAAAAAATTAAGAATTCATTGGCCAAACATACAAGTGAGTCACAGGCGAGCAGCTCACTCACCTACGAATCTAACCAGCCTTGGTTTTGGATCGGGTAGTTCCCTCCAATCTAATTCATGTCGGTTGGATAAGTTGCTAAAATTTGGGATTAAAATCATTCTAATCTCTTGCTTGGTTCTAACGGGATGTCACATGTTAGACCAATCAAAGGCGGACACGTGACACTTATGTCAGCACAAAGGTAACGTCACTTAGTTAAAAGTGACGTCATCCGGAGGAAAAATGGTGATGATGATGGAAGAAGTCACTCAAGTAGACGTTATAGTAATGAAAGCACGTCGTAGTTCCCTCAGCGTGAGGCTAGAGACTGTGGCCGAGGGGTTCGGGAGAAGGCCAAGGTTCCTAAAGAGACTAGTGGTTATAATAGTCATACTGACTGGTGCAAGTGAATACAGCTAGGAACGCATTAGAATGTCTACCTGGGAATAAACAAAGAAAACGATTTACGAGGATCGATACTCAACTTTCAGCAAGCGTTAGTCCATTATCCCATATTGTCAGATCAAGCATGTTAATACATTGCAGCGAATCATGGAAAAGATCCTTGAAACTATAACAATTGATAATAAATGCTCCTCGTAAGCATACTACACACAACATAGGAGTTTTTGATGATGCCGGACATTCATCGTTGCAGGAGAAGCCCTCCAACATCATGTCTTGCAATTAATGATCGGCAAAGCCTTGGACGTCGAAAGATTAATGTTATTAATGTGCGTCACGCATAAAATGATCAGGGATCGAAGTGAATGGAAATCCAGCTCGATGCCCAACCGCCTGACAAGGTTGGTGAGACATCCCTGTTGTCTCAAGGACTAACCAATTAGAGAGCCTTCTACCAAGGGGAATCATACAAGGTATCCTTGATAAAGGCGCCCAACCACCAAGGTGGTATAAATAGTGCTCTTTGTCGAAAGAGAGATGTACGTTCTGCACCTCCTCAACCATAACATTGAATATTGTCTGATTCCCTCCTAAAAATCGGACATAAGCATTAGAGGGGAATCGTCGGAGACATCTCCGGCCTCCTTTTAACCCTTTTGTATGATCCTCAGGTTTTTCGTCACCCTCACGCTACACGGTTACTCTTGAGCAACAATCAAAGAGCTGCTATCTCATTATTGTGCAAGAAATCACCCTTACAAATTCGACTCGAGATTAGATGAGTGAGATTCGCATATCCAATTCCACGCCTGATTCTCCTTTTTCAATTCTTGAGGCCCAGACTAAATTCTAAAACAGCGATTTAATCATCTTTAATTGACGTTTCAAGGGATAAATTAATCTTTTATTCAAATATCTTGTACACCATCCAAACTGATTTTGTTGGTCCCAAACTACTTCTAATCATATGATACATGTTTTTCAAGGCTGTCAATATACTTTTGGACTTTTTTCAAATCCACAAACAGCCTCCGACTCGTGTTTTAAATGAGTTGAACTTAAACAACTAAATGAGTCTAAAAAACTCAGCTCAAACTCGTCAAACTTGACTCGTTCATATGTAATATAATTGAGTTACTCGGATTCAGGTCGAGTTTTAAATAAGCCGAACAATTTTTTTTTTAGACTCGTTTTAAAAAATGAACTCGACAAGCTCAGACTTAAGCTAGCAAAACTCGACTCGATTAACACCCTCCCATCAACAACATTAAAAAAAATGGGACAAGAAGAAAAGCATCCGAAAGAAATTTTTCCAGAGGCAACTGCAACGGTCCGTTTATTTTGCAAATATTTCATAATCTGCTCCAAAACCATTGGCCATAACAATATAACATACAGAATAGACTAACCACTATCTTTGAACATTGATCATTCTTTTCAAACACATGAAATTATGGTATCCCTACGATTTTCTCTTTCTCCCGTTTATATTTCAATGAAAGAATTTGTAAATATAACAAACTAAAATACGGACACAATGAATTGAGGACAACAAGAAGAAGTGTGGTTGTTACCACTATAATAATACTGGTACTGAAATGGACATTGACATCGCAACGTCACCTGCAAAACTTGAATCCCTAGTCGCGGCTGAGTTCCTTGCAAGTGCATACCCTACACCCAACCCACCATAATGCAAAGGTGCATTCTCACACCTCTGGAAAACTCTAGCAAGTGATGCTGCTTTTCTCCTCGCTCGTTTTGTCCCCGTGAAGAGCAGAGTATGAAGCAAACCAGCCAATGCTGGCGCCTTCAACACCCTCTCAGTTGCAGTAGCTCCACCACTACGACACAATTCTAGCAATGCCGCAACTGCATTTTCTTTCCCTCTTGGTGTCCCACACCGCATCATTCCAATTAGCCCCACTACAGCCATTTCCTCATTTCCAACTGCTTCAGCCCCAGTTGACTGCCTAACAACCAAGGCCAATGCACCTGCTGCTTCTTCTGCAACACCTTCATATCCCAAGGCCCGGACTAGTGCTGTTACAGCCCCTGACTCTATCATTCTCATGCAATTATCTGTATGAGTGGATAGATTAAATAAAGCCGTCACTGCATCCTTCTTTCCTCTGGGTGTCCCATCTCTCAACAGCCCTGCCAAGGCTTCAACTGCTCCATTTTCCTCTGCTATTCTCTTCTTATAGTCATGAACTGCAGAGAGGCTGAACAAGGTCGCTGCAGCATTTTCCCTGGCCTCGATTGTGTGTCCAAATCTCAAAACTCCAACAATTGATCCCAAACATCCATGTTCATCCATTATCCGGCTTTTGTTCTTGTCATAAATGGATAAGTTAAGCATCGCAGTCACAGAATTCTCTTGTGCAACAGCATTTGGGGATGAAAGCAGATCTTTCAAAAGGGGTATGGCGCCAGCCTCTGCAATATAAGCCCGATTTTCCCTTCCAGTTTTTGCTAACAATCGTATCTCCCGGGCAGCAATTGTCTTCGCACCCTGTGACCCATTTGCTAGCTGCTGAATGAGAAGTCCTGCGGTGGCTTTATTAGCTTCAATTGCAGCCTTACTTGCTGAGGCAGCAGGAAACGTTTCACAAGACGACTCCAACGTCTCTGGCGGGTCATAGGGGATTCCATGAGCAGTGCACCACTGCACAATCAAATTCCTTAGAGCCCGATTGGGCACAAGCCGAGTATGAACAAGCGTCTGCCTCGTATTTGGACAAGTATAATGCCCTTCCTCCTTCCACCTAGATATCGAAGCTCGATCATAAGTCTGTCCAGTCAACATTATCACTGGATCTCTCATCAAATCCAATGATATAGGGCAACAGAAATCCTTGGGAATGGTGATAAACGTCTCCGCGATTTCCCGAGTGATCAAACTTTTTTTGGGCTTCTTATGTTTCCCAATCTCCAATTCCACTTCACCACCCTCAAACCCAAACAACAAAAACCTACAATACCGAGTCAAAGCCACAAACCCATTAAGCACCGAGGCATTAGGTTCAACGTCCCCCTCATGATTAACAATTTGCTCTTCAAGAAACTCAATTTCAACCCTACAACTTCTAACATCGCAAATTCCCAACTTTTCCACGAAAAACGTATACAATTCCACCGGATCAGGAATTTTCCCGTTCTCAAATTCATTCAGAAACGAATAAAGTTTGAGCCTCAAGGACTCATCATGCTTATCAATCAACAATTTTGCACTTTTCGATTGCCTTTTCAACAATTCAATCTGTTCTCTCACATCATCATGATCAAGATTCAAGTCTTGAAGTGGAAAGACATCCATAAGGGTCGAAATTTCTTGATTCAAATCATGAAAATGACCAGAAATCGTATGGTTTTGAAGCAAAAGCCATAACTTACTTGATTGAAAGCAGTAATCAAGCAAAATCTTCGACCGATACAACAACAAATACATCTCTTTGAAGCACAAATTCGCCGTCGAAGGAAACGCCAAACCCGAATCACGAACAAACTCAATTAGAACCACAAATAGCTCAATTTTCCTTATCAGCGACCTCGAATTCTTTCGCTGAAACGCCACCGTTTTTCCTGAAAACACCGAAATCAGCTCCACCGACACCGTCGCTAGTGTCTCTAACAACGCCACATCAGCCAGATCCACCGGCGCCAAGAAAGCCTCGATCGACGGCGACCTCCGTCTTCTTAACGAAGAAAATATAGCAGCAGACGCCATTAAAACAACCCAAATTTTTTTCTCAAACCGTCGTTTCTGAACTGAATTTCAAGGTCTTTGAGAAAGAATTCAATCTGACTGATTGCTTTGAAATTATTGCTGTTTGAAACAGATCGAAAACAAGAAGAACAATTCAAAAGTGACACGAAATTTTTGTTCGGATTATGGTGATACATATATAGATATATATTTATATCAAAGCATGGACTGGGGGGTGTTTGTGATTTGAATAATACTGTGGATTGTTTGTGATTGTGAATCCGCGTGCGAGGAAGAAGAAGAACAAGGGTTTTCGTTTGTGGGAATATCCAATAAAGAATGGTGTTGCTTCTGTCTCTCCCTCTCTCTCTAGGAATTTCCACGTTGCCTTCGTGAAAATGACTTCCATTTGTCTTAACTTTGACGGTACGACGTGTTTCAACGTATTAATAATCGGTGGATAATATTATTTAAGAACGCTAAATAAATTTATTAAAATTTATCTTATTTTAAATTATAAATTTTTATCTATTTATTTTTTCTCTCTCGCAAATAGGCTGGGAATAGATGGAATTTTAACTCGAAATTGAAATTAATTAATTAATTAAATTTGTTAAATTAAATTATTTGGATTGGATTGGATCAAATTTTTTGGATTGAATTTTGAATTTTTTCCGGATTCAGATATGAATCATAAAAATAAAATTAGTAGAATAATCAAATCAAACTTTTAAAATCGAAATCAAATTTCTATCAATCAAATTTTGATTAAAATTCAATCAATTGACAGACCTACTTACAAATCATGTATATGCTGCCAATATTCAATTTAAGTCGTACCAAAATTTATAATAATTAGATTGTATATTGCGGAACTCATTTATCAAAATAATATAATTGATCAACTTAGTTCGCTGTTAGGCTCTACGATCATGGTAATTACATCGAGGAGGTGGGGGTCTGGACTAATTCACATCGGGTAGTTACGGGCGTGTGAGTGTGTCTATAAGTCTTCACTTGGCCCTTACTCTGTTAGAGTAATTGATTAGGTGTGAATCAAAAAAAAAGTTAGTTCAAACATGAACTCAGCAAGTCTAAACACAAATTCAATCACTTTCAGGATGATTTTTATGTTAGAAAAGCGGTGCTTTAAAAAATGCTAACCCTATATCTACGTTTGTGAAATATGTTGATTATTAACTTAAAATAATTGCTAGTAAAATATTTTAAATTAATAAAGGGTTTTTTTTTTTTCTAAACTTCAATAATGTTGCACCAATACTCAACCAAAAAAGACGATTGTTGCTATTGAATGACGATTATTCTATTTTACTGATTTAATTCGTTAAATTTTTTTTCAACAGAAACAGGAGAAAGTATACCATTACATATTTACTCATGTTGAGAAAATACTTATTTCAACGATGATAACACGTAATCATTTTCACATAGCATAAACTTTACTTTTTTATATGGACTGATTATCAAATGACATAGAAAAGTGATTATCACTTGACGTATAGCGGTAAGTATTAAAATATATGAGATCCACTTTTTAACTTATTATATTCTTATTAGATGATGATAGAACGTGAGTAAATATTCGTTATAATAGTAATACCACATCATCAATATCATATAATATTACCATCTAATAAAAATACTATTATATAATCAAAGGGCTAAAAAATATATGATTGGTTTAGCAAGGATTAGCTAAAAAAGACGTGGAGACACCGTTGGTTGTGTAAGACAACCTTGGTGGAACTCTTTATCTTCATTTGACATCATGATGTGGAGTTAGTGAAGTTAAGAGGTTAAGTGAAGACAAAAAAAAAAAATCCCCATCGATGTGATATACGATCGGGTCGGGTCGGGTCGCATGCTGGTGTGCCACCAAAATATAAAAGAAAATAGTACGAATGGATGTAATATAATTGTTTCGTATACGCAAAAAAAAAAAAATTACATTAAAGTTAATTTTTTATTGAAATACTCCTTTTTTTTTTTTTTTTACCAAACTGTAATTACTTTCATGTCCTTTCCCTCCTAACCAAACAAGGGGTGAATTTCGTTCTCCTTCATTTATTATTAGGAGAGACTTTTGCTTGAAGACTGTTGAGTGTTGACTAACCACAAGTATATTTACTGTGCGGTTAAAGTGAAAAAGAATAAAGTGCAAAAGATTTATAACATTTATTTCAACGGTTGACAAAGAAAATGTGTTGGGCCCCCACGCAACTGTGTATCTCGTGGAAAGTATAATCTCTTACGATATCATTTTATTAATCAATAATTTAAAATTATTTAAAATAAAATAAAAAATTCAGATATATTTCGATACCGTTCGGTAACCTTTCCCTAATCTCTGGGCTATTTGACACTAATCTAATTCTTTTATTTTAAAGTAGTATTCGGGTTAACCAACATAACCCACGAATTAGAAATTTAACACTAGCATTCTATTATTTCTTAACCAAATCGAGAAGCACAATTTGTCCATAAATTAAAAATTAGTTAAATACATATGATAATAAAGAAAAAATAATAAAATCCTTTTAGTTTACAAGGATTATGCCATTACTAGATAAAAATAATAATAATAATTATTTAAAATTTTATTTATACAAATACTAGTTAAATGTATTAGTTGTATCAATTTAATATTATTCATGTTTAATACTAACATAACTCATTTATTATTTATAATTATAAATCATATAATTTTTAAGTTTATATTAAAAAAATAATTAATTATAACTTATTGATTTTATATCGATTTTAAGTCGGTGTTTTTTTTATCACCCCTTGTCCTTTTTTAGTCGTACTTATGTGTCCGGCAATGTAATAGTAACTTCGAGGAGATTATATAGAGTAATTAGTCAAAATATATTTTTTTATTACACTATCTATTTTAAAGACTAACTCCTATTAATTCACTCTAACAATACTCTCTATTTTAACTAACTATTTCAAATAATTTTAACTACAAAACCCACAAAATCCAAATACTCTAGTACCCAACACGAAAACCCACAAAATCCAAATACTCAATCCAAATGAATTTTTGCTCTAATTTTGTGGGTTTTTCGATTGTCCTCTCTCTATCCAACACGAACAGTTGATGAATTTTTTTTGATTTTGTGGTTGTCTTATCTCTAATTTTATGGGTTCTTGTTTTTCGGTTGTCCTCTCTCTGTTGAGTGGGGGTTTTAGTAGATTTTTGGGTGGGTTTTTCAGTGAGATTTTTAGGTTTTTTGTAAGTTTTTCGGGGGAATTTTTTGACTTTTTGCTAGATTTTTTTTTGGGGGTTTTCAGCGGGAACCAATAGAGACCAAAGATGGAGAAAGAGAGATATATAGAGAGATAATAGAGCATACCTTCCAGTGCTGTGGAGTGAAACTTAGCACAAAAATTAGCGTTCCCCTTTTGTCTCGCCAGAAATAGGTAACAAATTAATGTTATGAGAAATAGTTAGGACACAAAGCTAGGCTGTTGGAGGAAAAATTTAGAAAGACACTGTGTAAACTAGTTAAGAAGGGGCATCTGGGAGTTGCTCTAATGCTGGCTTTGAAGTCCACCCACTCTTATACTGTAATCCTCCACGTGTCACCACAACGTATCTCTAGAGGCACATGTGGTAATGGACCGACAGCGCCGGTACAACCAAAAGTACAAAGCAATTGCCGTCTGGACAGGCCACGTATGCCCAGTCATCGGATGGCCGACGACTTGCTCAAAACGCAATGCGCAAAAGTCAAAGAAATTATCCGCCGACAACGGCAAGGGCAAACCTTCGTATTAATAGAATTTTTTTCTAATATAACTATGACACCAGATTAAATTAATTATGAACAAATATGTTCCTAAATCAATTGGTTTTGTACAGTGAATAATTAACATAAATAATAATTATTAAAAGATAAAAATTCAGGAAAATATTATAAATATGACACAAAAATATAATGTAGTTTAATACAGGATACTCACATTGGTACACCGTTTTTATATCCACGGACTGAAAATCTACATCGATGTATTATTTATTAAAATCTGATCATCTAATAACTGATTATATAATACTCATCTCTATTTATAAAGATAAAATATTGTAACTTAAACTTATTCAGATACAACTTAATATTTATGTTTTCTATAACATGTTTAATATATCTATTTATGGTATATTAAAACTCTTCAAATTTATTTCCTATTTGATTAGGTCATTAATAAACCTATTCATGATTTATTAAGATTCTTACATTGATTACCCAACAAACTCTCATTCATTACAATTTAGAAAGTTTTGGTCAAATTTTAACAGTCTCTTTTTAATTAAACTTTTCAAATTTAGTCATACCCAACATCAGGTTTAGTATCCTTGACTTTGATATGCTAATTTTTAAGCACCACATACAAACCTGCTCTTCTAAGTCATCACAATTATCTCTGTCTTTCAAGAATCTACGTCTTGCCCTGCATGATCATTTATGCATCTTTGCCTGCTTCTTACCTTTTCTTGAGAGTTCTCAATGATTAATGCTTCACTATACAAAAATAAAGTCTAGTAACTCGTAATCCACAAGACACTACATCATCACTACTAAATTTATGTCATCCCAATAGCTCCAAAACTATTGAAATACCACGACTTCAACTCTATGAGCCCAAAAACCCGAAGAAACATCTTCAACATAGCACGTATAATAATTATTGAAATCCAAATAATTGAGAAGTAACTTAGTCTGCCTTTTGATTTCATACCAACTTTAATTTTTTTCTTATGAATCTAAACAAAAATATGAATTGCACATACATGGCAAAAAAGTCTTCTTTAACATAAACTCTAACTTAATCATCACTAATAACTTACTTTGATTGTTGTACTAGAATCGTCAATCTAGTTCTGATTGTTTTTTTAGGATTATCAATCTAGTTCTAATTGATCTATCAGGATTATCAATTTAACTATGATACCACTTGTTGGTTTTACACAACAGATAATTAACACAAATAATAGT